CTTATTGTAAAAATTTTCTAATATTTCAAGATGATCTTGTAAGTGCATCCATATGGACTGGTCGGAATAGTGTGCATCCTACTGATCTGGATAGGTAGTGGCCTAGTCACGTGATTCCCTAAAGTTGAAAAGGTTCTTTGTTGATCTGAAATATAGATGTTCCAGGAACCAAACGAAAAGCGCTTGATCCCCCAAAACAGTACCGAAAATGACTTGATTATACAACACAAACGTGTGTGGTTGCCTGGGTGCCTGGGTGTTGATAACACACCAGTATCAGTCGATTCAGTGACCAATCTAGATTGCAATTTTTCTCCATTTCAGAGACCTACGTAACACACGGAAGACTTGTCGCTTATCTGGATGAAACAAAGACCATGTGGAATATGACCCCTCTTGACGACGGATAAAGGAGGCAAGTTGGAAAGTAAAAAAGGTGACGCACAATCTGTAATAATTAGATTGCAAACCTGTTCTCTCGGGAAACCTATGCATTCGAGTTTATTCTAGGGATGTGGAACTAAAGCTACCCAATCACTTCATTCACTGACTTGAGAAAAACGACACTTCGCATTCTGTCATCCGAGTCAAAGCAAGCACGTCTGTACATCTTCCGCATACCCCCTGCGGAGGGACGGCTTGTGCCGGTACGTACCTCTTCAATGCGAACATGTGCTAGCTCCCGATCGCAATTACAATCACGTGACTTCCGACCACGTGCGGAAACCAGTACTCTAATGAGCGAATCAATATTGTCTGGCGACAGTTTGTTTCAAACATTTGTTTTTTCCTCCCAAGTTAAAAATGAGAATTTGAATAGAACACTTAATGGTAAACGAATCAAAAACCGCAGCTAACAGGTGTCGGAAAATGCCAACACTCAACTGACTATGTGGTCGAGAATGGGGACAATAAACACACAATAATGACCAATATCGTGTTTAATCTATCCACCACAATCGTTCAATTACCTCGTTTCCATCCCAACCCCGCTCCCCTCATGCCACCTAACAGATTTTCATCGAGCATAATTGTAAGTCAGAAAAATTGAGTGAATATTTATGAATCATATAGAAAATAATTCAAATATTACTAAAGTCATAATAGCAAGCGTGGCTGTTATTGAAAAATTTGGTAACATGGACATATTGATTGAGTTGAACTGAATATCCTTTGGACTTCACTTTCACGCACAATCCTCAGTTCATCGATTCAACTATACACTCGGAAGCACTAGACTCGAGTTTCGCTCTTATTAGAGCTCATCAGTAGTGCATATCCACCGTCCCGTCCGGGATTTGAACTCCGAAACCATCATATGGAAGGTGTTTGCATTACTAATCTGCTAACCAGCTCATGCCATGGCTGAACGAAATTGCCAATTCATGTTTGTTCAAGTGTCGTCTTCAGTTCATTTGGCCTGACAGCATCGAAAGGAGACACAGATGACAATCTGTTGACTCCAATTGAAAGCCTCTCACCAAGTCTGGACTCCCATGCAGGCTACGGGCTGATTTGCCAACGAACCTACAAGTCCCGATTGATTATTTGCACTTAACTCACAAGTAACGGCATATCACGCAACTACAGGAGAGCTAAATCCAATCGCAACACATTCACTTCAATGTTCAGTGGGAATAACACTTCAGGAGATACAGGAAAATGCACTGCAGCAGTTTCATACAATCAGGATCGAGATATAAACCAGTTCATGCTGTGTGTTGAACAGTTCACCTTAGCGCTGTGCTGATATCCGTATTCTGAAACAGGTTTTGACGGGTACGAAGATTATTTTACCGTCCGTTTGCCTTAACCATGAAATATATGGGAAGTACTTTACCGCTCTCGAGAAGAGATTAACTGATTTAAATGAGAAACGAATAACAGGGTTACTCCGATCAATT